AGAGAGAGAGAGAGAGAGAGAGAGAGAGAGAGAGAGAGAGAGAGAGAGAGAATAGAGGCAAAGAAGGGAAGAGAGAGAGAGAGAGAGAGAGAGAGTAAATAAGCCGTGAGTTTCCTCGCTGTATATTCCGTACGAGGCGAGGCGAACCCTGTCCCGCCATAAACCCGGTTTGTACGCCGCATGAATACCGGCGTCTTTATTTATGGCTTTTCGGGAAGAAGTTCGCCGCGGGACGACGAGCTATCCAGCGACGACACGGCAGTCAAGTCGCGCGTACGCGCGCCGCTTTTCATCGATTTTCCGCGGCCGGTTGGCGCGGATAAAACGCCGCGGGTCATTTCGCGAATTCAGCCGGAAAGAGCTCGCTCCTCTTTTTCTTCCTTTCTTTTTTCCCTTTTCTTTTTTTTTTCTTTTTCACGCGGAGATATGGAAGCGATCGAGAGGGGTCGATGCAACAGCGGTCTGATTCTCTTTTTCGAGGAGAATTCGAGGGCACTCATTTCAATTTCGGAGCATCACACTCTAGAATGCAAGAATTTCAGTCTTTCGAAAACAACGATTTGAACGCGCGTTTTTCTACAGTAGAATTATGGTGATGCATTTACATTTTCGCTAATTTCAGAATTACACACGCGAATACACATACAATTTTAAAATTGTGAAATATAATTGCTGTAAACATGAAAAGTAAATAGTGCGCTTCTCTCTTTCACACGTGCATATGTAGTTACACAATCGCGATTTGTGTTTGCTTACTTCACCCGCTTCATCCTAGAAGCCATTGCGGAATCAATTTCAGAGTATACAATATGCTTTTGGCTTGTATCCGAACAGCTCCCGATTTTATTATACTTGCGATTTTACTGTAAAGCAGAAGCGCTCTCTCTCTCTCTCTCTCTCTCTCTCTCTCGCTTTTCTCCTCTCCATTCCTCTTAAACATTCCCTTTCTTTCTTTTTTCGAATATATGCATTAGCGTGTACGTAAGTATGTATGTATGTATGTATGCATGTATGTATGTATGTATGTATGTATGTATGTATGTATGTATGTATGCATGCATATGCACCTGGAAAACATATTTGAGAACATGTGCATTCGCGACCACATATTGCGGTGACATAAAATGAACGTTGCGTTTTTCACAGAGTTCGAAGTTCTTTTATCGATACAGATTGGAGTTTCCACGAGAGTAGGTTCTCGTAAAAAGTAGGGAACGCGCGGTTACAACATAGCAGATTGCGAGCGCAAAAGTATAATTTTACGTCGAGATCCTAAACGTGGGATCTCGTACGAGACTATGTACAACTGTGGTGTCGATATGGGGCACGATTTTATCATTTGTTTCCATTTTCAATAATGTATTTGCCGCGACTTGTTCTTACGCGGATCTATTCCGATAGTTTGCTGTACGCGGATGTGGACGTTGCGTAGTTGGCGATCTGCCACGCGAGAGTCTGGTCTGGATTTAGAACTCCTACTCGAAACGGATAAAACTTTTGCGCGGAATGACAGCAGGGCAAAACGACGATGACGAGCGTATAAAGATGACACATCAAGTCGTCCATTTTATTCCGACCGCGCCCTCCGCGGTACGTCTTATGCAAACTGTCGTAATTCCACCGGTGTAAAATATAATGCCCCGCGTTTCCCGAGAAACCGAAGCTGAAATTTCAGATAAATTCTTGCTACTTTAGCGATTGTTTCGCGGCCTTGTTCGCGTTATTGTTTGACCCTCTTTTATACTTTACCCAAGTAGAAAGAGCGATCTCTTCCTGGTCAGGAATTTTGATTACTGGCTAGTTTCTGGCCAATTTAAGCGACATTGCTTCGCCAGTAACTAGACGGTAAAACTGATCAGTCGGTGACCAATTTTTGATCAGTTTGTAACCCAACTTTTTTAGCACCAAATTTTGTCAAATATATTTGATAGTTAAATATTGGATAGTTTCTGTCCAATAAAAACTCTGAAAATACTGTTCAGTATTTTTGGGCCAGTTATTTGTCAGAAACTATACAAGAAAAATGGTAAAGAAATGCTGTGCATTTTCTGTCCAGCAAAAAATCAGAAATTACTGACGAATTTTTTTTAGATAGTTCCTGGCCAAAATAAAATAAAATATTATATTAAAGATGAAAAAAAATTATAAAAATTATAAAAATTTAATTTTAATAAAATTATTGTTTCGATACATATATAGTTAAATTATTTATAACTATTAATAAACTAAAAAAAAATAGATATTAATTAGAAACCGACAAAAAATGCTTATAAAATAGTCAAAAACTACATAATAACTAGTAAAAAACTGCTTAGAAACTGCTAATAAATAGATTAGATACTGATCAAAATCTAGTTAAAAACTGATCTGAAACTGTCTAGTTCAACTGTCCTTTTGACGAAGTGAGCGTCGACCAAACCAGTCAGTTTCTAGCCAAGAAAACTGACTAAAAACTAGCTAGTTACTAAAAATTCCTGGACAGTTACTGGTCAGAAACTGGATAAATTTCTACTCGGGTAGTTTTTATTGTTCAATGTTATACACACATTGTAAAATATTATGTTTTATTATTTAATATTTTTATTATTTAATATTAAATTAATATTTAAATTAAATTTTTTAAAGGAAATTTTTTCATATGCAAATTCATTCATTATTGAGATTATAATAGCTTTATCTACAATTACCATTTTTCCATGCCTAGTCAGTTTCTGAGCAGTACTGGCCAAAAAATATTGACCAATATTTTTCAAGTTTTTACTAGGCAAAAAAACTGCTCAACATTTGCTAACTATTTTTTTTCTAGCCATTTTTTAATTTTCTATTTTCTGTTCAGTTTCTGAATAGATACTATCCAATAAATTCTAGTCGGGAAAAGCTGGCCAATTTCTGACTGGTGACTAGTTTTTTCCGAAAATTTTTCCAGTATCTCGCGCATACCGTAATGTATTTATCGCAATTCCTCGCGCAACGAATATTTTTACTCCATTCCGTCCGATCATTTCATTGCCGGCTATAATTCTCTGTCATTGTTTAAGTTCCGAACCTTTGATGAAGAATTTGCGGCCCGTATTACGTTTCTCCATCGAAAGCCACGTAACAATACGGAGCTGTAGTTATACGAGACTACGTCTCCCCAGCTTGTCCAGCAGTTGCAAACTAGAACCCTGCCTAGAATCATACAGAGTTACAGCATTGTTCGGCTGAGACACAGTGACGTCATTGTTAGTCGCAACGATCGGTTACGAACACTAAACAATAACCACGTGGACGTGTTTCGACGTGCCGATATCTTCCTCTGTCTCGGTTTCGTAAACCGAGATTTCGGCACTGCCTATTCTGCGACGAATATATCCGATCGAAATTCCATCGACTTAGCGAAATCAGCTTGCGGAGGAATTATAAGTTCGCTAAGGACAGTTGCAACTTTCGAGTTTTCACATTTTCTCATTATTTTACGAGTGGTACACGCGACTTTCTTGAGGAAAAAAAATGGTAAGAAAGAAGACGTGTTTTGCAATAGCTCACAGAATGAGCGGCACATTAGTGAAATCAAGAGGTACAGAATAAACAAGGAATTTCTCTCGTCATTTTATCCCGTTACATCTCATATTTTCTTGTGTTTCTCCTCGTTTGTTAGATTGCGAGTAACAATGTTGTCTTTGCGCGGTTCCCCTGTCTTTCTGCTGTATAATTTCGCCATTAAAATAATTAGAATCGAAGGACATGCTATTTTGAAAACATCTTGCGATAAGAAACTCCTCGCTCTCGAGCGAAGGTAGACACAACATGAGAAGCAGGAAGCACGAGAACAGCGAGACGCGAAAACGCGAGGGAGATCGGCCTCAAGATAATAAGACACGCGCGAATAAAGATTATATAATAGCTAATGAAGAAGTAACTGTCTCGGTCCATTATATGAAGCACGCGATATGCTATTGTATTTGCAGGACGGAAACGATATTGGCAGAGAACGAATCGACGCCGTTGCAGCTCGCGAAATGGGCGCCACATGGCAACGCTCTGATCTACGTGCATCAGAATAATATCTACTATAGACCGGAGGCGGAGGTGGACAATGACTACCAAATAACCAACACGGGAGTGTATGGAAGCATCTATAACGGCGTGCCAGACTGGGTGTACGAGGGTGAGTAGTTTTTGCAGAGTTCTTTGGCGAGTATTCTTCATTTTCATTTCTTGCCAGGATTCTTTCTAACGAATTTCCCGTTCTCCTGCGTCCTCCTATCGTGTTCTCATGCATACATAGTATGTATATAAAATATTACAAATATTACAAATTATTACCTCAGAAAGTAACGGGTATTTTTTAACTTTTCATTTTTAATATCGTATATTTCGAATTCTATGATAAAAATAATTTGGTGAATGTTCCGTTCTCTCGTTCGCGATATTTTGCAAATATTCGAGAAAGAGTTCTCTACAACGACGGGATTATTGTAGTTTAATTTTTCTGAAAATGAAATGTGAAAGATATGAAAAGACTAAAGCGGGTTAAGGACGCAACTTTATCTCGTCAGCGTTTCACCTTTCGGCTCAAATTTCGCGGAAAGCCGATACATCGCGTGATCCACTTTTTGCGAGCTTTGTAGCCCGAATCCGGCTACAAAGACTACCACGATTTATCGTACTCATGCCGCACGGCGACGATTCAACAAGTCACGCAATATTTTTCATTTATCTCTTTGAACGCGATCTGTTTTCCGTGACCGTAAAAATATTTTATTTATCTTTTTATAAAACATCCGATTGAAACGAGACCGACATGCTACGAATACTGGGATATGATGTACGCGATTTGTCTAATGACTTTTTCGGCGAATATTTTCCGCTATGTGATTGAGAAACTCGCGCTGACAATTTCAGAAAATATTGCAAAAACAGGGAGACCTCAAAGAACTTTTTTTTGCGGTAATTGTATTCGCTAAAATCATTTTATCGCAATGATAATCAAAGAAAAAATCCTATGTAAGCCCACTTGTGACGGGGACCAAAAGGTCACACAACGCGACGATAGGACAGATCGAATTTATCGCCGTTGAATACTGACGAGAGACGACAAATGGCAATTGTGCGCGATGCACTATGACATTCTCTCTTTTTCTCTCTCTCTCTCTCTCTCTTTCTCTTGGTTTTTTGCTGCCTCTCTGTCCTCCCCACCAAATCCGTGCAAAAATGTCCGTGGCTGCGAAGAGAGCCGCGTTTAGTATCGCAAAATCGCGAATGACGGACGGATCAACGGCGCGTCCATATTTAAAGAGATAAACGCGGCAAATTGTCCGGATTCATAACGTCACGTTATTGGCAGACAGGCGGAGCAGCTGCTGCCATTGAAAAGCGACGAAAAAGCGGGGGCATGATTTAAAATGCAGAATCACGCCGCGCTTTTATATGTATATCGAACCGATCGCTCTCCGCAAAGCCAACGAGGTGTCCCCGCGCCGTCCTGGAGCTGGACGCTGATCGACGCGAGATCCGGCAGCCGTCAGTGTATTTATTCGCGCATTTCCGCGTATAATCATCGCGTCGAAATTTGTCAGCTTCGGGAATTTTTCAATCATCGACGTCCGGATTTTTATCGCGCCCTCGACAACGTCGCGTATAATCCGTCGATTTCCGATACAAGACTTTTTACAATGTACGTTACCCGCCTCTTCGTGTCTCGCTGTTCTCGTCTCTTTGAAAGCGTGATAAATTCGGAAGGCACGACAATGACAAGGGGGGAATCGTTATGTTTTTCAATATAAATGAATCTCTCTTTCGATGGATGGGCATGCACGCTTTCATCCGGTCCACGAGAAAGGAAGAAGCAACATCGACATCGTCCTTTATGCAAAATCATATTTAATACGCGTAATATGCGAATGCCACTGGCGCGCGTGCATGAGTTTAAATATTTTAAACCGATATCTACGGAGCGCGTCGTAATTTGTAATGCCTCGAAAACACTATCCGACATCCGTGTTTGTGAATACGTTTGTATGTGCTGTACGTATTCGTGACGCGCGAGTTAATCACAAACAGTCGACTACGCTATCGGGCATTAAATTCATTACGAATGGCGATGATTAATTAATACGATGATGCTAATTAATTAGTGAATTATCCACGCGCAGCGCGCATTAAAAGCTGCATTGTAGAAACGGAGTTTTGAATTGAACGAGGGTGGGAATGGAAATGAGGACCGCGCCGGAGGAGTGCGCAAATATTTTTTTTTCTTATAGAATCAAGCAATTATCACGTAATTAGCACATACACTGAGAGAAAAATTATCTTAAAATTAACAAAATATTTCCTTGGTGAGTGCCATTAATATATTTACTTAAATCTATATTCTCTTTACTTAAATCAAATATTGTTTACTTGATTTAAATAAACAATATTTGATTTAAGTAAAGAGAAGGTAGATTTAAGTAAATATGTTAATAGCACCCACCAAGGAAATATTTGTTGATTTTAAGATAATTTTTCTCTCAGTGTACAACGCTTCGCTCGTTAAACTTAGTTCACTCTTTCATCACCAATGGGATACATGTCCCAGGACATGTGTTTTCCTTACTATTAATAATAACCTTATTCAATCGAATAAACAACATTTCTGGCATTCAGAACATATCAGCCATTACTCAACTTTTTACCGTTGGAACGAAAAAAACTAAAAACCTAAAAACAACGAAACATCAGGGTCCCGGCACTATATTTTTGGCGTCAAACATAAAACGTTTACTTTTTTTCTAAAACTACATCATATTTATGTATTTAATGAAGTAAAAATTTAAAAAATTGTATTTTTAAGAAACCAAATAATTAGCGAAAAGGTTAAATAAAGATCGAAAACGGAATTTTAATTTTGCCCGGTTATTATTACTTTATAAATTTATATATTCGCAAATCAAGCATCAAATTTGTTCACAGTGCATTCTGAAACCTAGTAAGTTTAACATTTCAGTCAAAAATATTAAATTAAAACAAAAATTCGGCTTTGCTTACTTATATAAAGTCGCAGAACAAATTGTTTCCTCGAAATCTTATATTCTTATAGAGAAAAGAATAAATTCCCCTTTTTTTAGTACATTATAATGAACTTTCCTAAAATTTGTCATGAATCTGCTATCAAGAAAATTCTTTGTCAACTGTTACTTAAAAGAAAGAAAGTAAGCTCAGTAAACGCTTTTTTTAGCAGAGAAAGTAGAACGATATTTTTGTCTATGCACCGGCGGCGTTTTCGAAAGATAATTATTCTTTCTTGGGTGGTATTTAATGACGCGTCGTTCATCAGTTATTCTCGGGTAATTGATCGCGCGTCGGAAGAATTTGCAGTTATTATCATCGCCGTGAGAAATTGATTTGCCCGAGCGGCGGGCAACGCGAAATCATTCCGCCCCATGCACGGCGCGCACTCCGTCGTTCGCGATTTTACACAGTCGAACAGCCCCGAAAGAGTCGTCGATAAAGTGTCAAACCGCCGCTCGAGGCATGCCAAGAACTTTTCAACCTGTATTTTGTTCCCGTCAGCCGAAGGCTTCGCTGACGACATACTTTATCCGACCTGCTACCGTGCCTGCGGGATTTTCTCGAATTTTTGGTATATAAACTGACTTACGCGGGCCGGAAAGATTTTAGATTCGGAAAATTAATAAAATTAATAACTCGCATCACGGGGAAGTCTGTTTTCCGGAAAGAGAAATGCAACTTGAGATTCTCGGTCTCGCCAACATTAATAACACGCTCTCTTTTCTTATTCATCATTGTTTTGTAGATACTTTTTAGGATAGAAGACATACTGTTTTAGTTCTAATACGAGTTAAATATCGCGATAATATTAGTATCCATATTATATATATTGATATGGATTTAATTGCATTTTCTCGTTTTGTATCGAATACTTTTCCCGTCGCTCGTGTCATGTCTGGAAATTCACAATAATTAAACGCATCGAAAATATGATAAAGTTGGTTACGTAGAGCTGTTACGTTAAGACGTAGATGCTGATGACGATGTCGTATCTTACAGTTGTGGCGATACCGCAGTAAATTACACGCTAAATGAGTAAAAGCCGGGCTGCACGGGAAATTTGTGGAAGGTAGACCATGTGTCAAGCGCATTCCGTGCCGGCAGAAGATGGTGGATTAATTATTAAAGGTGTTTTGCCGCGGTGCAACGATCCAGTCTACCTCACTGCCGCGTTACTTGATCAATTACAACGCTTGTCTCTCCCGGTGGCTCTTTGCGCGAGTTACTATATCATAAATATAATTAATCGACATAAAATTTCCTGAGTCTTAGCGATCATGTGGAATTCATAATAATCGCACAGCGTGACACACACGGACACATCTGGACACATCCGACACATCTGGGACACATACGTACACATCCGAAACATATCCGGATACATTTGGAACACATCCGGCACACATCCGGACACATTTTATCTTAAATACAACAAACCAATATTCCATTTTGTTTTATTGCGTTCCATTCTACAGCAGCACATACTATAAAAATTGGCGGAATGATACTACAAAAATAAGTTTGTTGTTCGTAATGACTTCAACGTGCAGTCGTAATGACAAGTGCCAAACATCCTTTCTCAGAGTAAGATTATTTTATCGCGGCTTTTTCGCGTTCATTTGCCGGCTTAATATAGTTTAGATCTACGAGCGCAAAGGCGTGCGGCGCGAAATATTACGTACCTGCAGAATCGTCATTTAACCAGAAGATCTGGCGCCCGCTCGCTGCGACATTAATACATCCCGCGTAAGATGGAAATCCGTGCTTTCTACTTCTTTCAACAATGGCGGATGTGACATTAATAGAGCGGCGGGGATTTAGAGAAATCCTTTTCACCAAATCCCGGCTCGCTAATGGTACCGCCCCTTCACAGGATTCCGATTTCTGATCGGATTCTAAAATGTTTCCTTTCTCGACTGTCGCCGAGGGACGCGGAACGCGAGGATACTCCCACGATGGAAATGTCCTCGCATAGGATTTATATTCTCTGCGCGGAATATGCGTTACTGTTGCAAACCGTAAACACGACGGCGAAATGCAGCGGAGAGGTTTTACGTTTTCACCCTTCATAGTCGCAGCGCGCGTTATCTCGCTCGCATTTTCCCGCGACATGTTTGACAATCTCGATGGGAATGTCTCGATGGAAAGAGGGATTGTATGAGTTTCGCCATTTTTCTCGGAGTTTGCTTAACCCTTTCGAGCTAAAGTCATCAGTGCACAATACACAGCGCTGAACGGTGTATCCGTGCCGAATGTCACGTATCGCGTTGAGATCCCTAGCTGGCGAAGCGGTAATGTCGATGTCGGATTGCTCTACATGTTTAACTAATTAAACGTAAACTACTTGTTGCGTGTTTGGAAAACGACCGGGAGAGAATATCTCGTTTCTCCCGTCTTATTTTTGTACGTCTCTACAAGAAGAAAGAGTTACGTCGAAGCAATTGCCTCGCATGACGTGTTTCGCTTTGCACGTTGAAGCAGCACTAGAACGCGAACTGACAGAAACCACGCTGGCCGAGAGAATAACCCGAGTTTGCGTTGTTATACGTGATGTTATATTCAAAACGACCCAAAAATTGCACGACGAAACGTGAAGTAAATTTGCTGCCGACATAAATAATTGATCGTCGTCCTAACGGATTTATCGGACAAGTCTGTCACTCGGTGGAGCGAGCCTTTCATGCAGGTCCAAGTCTGTTTTTCTTCGCGTACCATTCAGATCCGACGGTTTCCTTATCCCATCGTCGGAACTAACACATACACATATAGTAACACACGCACATACAGTCCACCCACTCGGAATCTCACCCTCGGGATATTTTTCTCCCTCATCACGTCCAGCGAGCTGCGCAACGCAGCGTCGCGTCTTTGTGCACTTCCCCGCGTCGCGGCATTTCTTTTCCACTACCTTTCTCTCTCTCTCTCTCTTTCTCTCCTTCTCTTCTTTACACGACCTTTTCCCATTCTTTTCTCTTCCCTTCGTTCCTTTCTTCTCTTTCATGTTTGCCAGCGAGAGCTTTTTGCCTTTTCTCGCGATTCCTTCCCGTCTCGCAACGTTGCGAGCTGAATCTAGCTCGGTCTCAAAGGTCTCGCCGACATCCTCAAAATATGCTAACTTCTCCTATTTTCCTGACTTTATCTCTCAGGAATGGATTTTTGCACGTAAACACACACGAGACGTTAACTGAGCACCTAAAAAGTAAACGGTTTTTAGTCGCGTGTGAAGAGGAAAATAGGAATGCGAGAGATCGAAAAATTGTATTGTGATCTTATCAAGTTTTTCACCTTCTCGCGAAATTGATAATATTTAACAGACTTCGGGATATTTCGCGTTTCTAACGTACATCTTATATACGAGTAGCAATCAGATTGAATTTTGAAATGCATAGAAAGCGGGTTCTTTCCACAAACGCGGATCCTGCAGTTGCATCTATTCTTATTCTGTGGAAGTTTCTGCACTTTTGCTCCAATTTGATCGCTCTCTCGGCAATCTTCAAACTACCTTAAACTAATTTCCTGCGGTCTAGATCTGAATTAGGTTTTTCATAATCGCTTTCCTCTCCTTTTCTCGCAATATTCTCTGCGAATTGTCGTCTCTAGATGCTAGGATGCATCCCAGGATTAATCCACCACTGTCTCTTCCCTTCACCTGTTCTCTTTTCTCCTACTTTTGCGGATACTTTCCACTCTTTGCGACTCGAAAAGTAGATATTTACATCGTTCTGCCGCCCACGCGAGCCCCAGCCTCTTTTTCGAGAAGAAACGAAATAAAGAGTTTCCGCTCGGTTCTGCCGTAACTCGTCCGGCTCCTTTCCGACATTCCCCTGCACGTTCTATGAACTCGCACTTATTACATCAGCGATTTTCTCTCGAACCAGCGCAACGGCCTCCCTTTGTTGTCGAGCTCCTTATTTGCGAAGTGTGGAAAAAATGACATTAGCGCTGACTGGGCAGATCTTTTCCGAACGTTTGCACTTTGTTTATCGAGACGCGGCTGAACGGAGGGAAATTCACAGTGAGTGCTTCTTTCAGTTCTAACGTCGGCCAACTTTGTTGTCTAGCTTATTGCAGAGTGTACTCATTCCAATTTCAGTCCCGATCAAAGGGAGATGAAATTCGATTGGTAAAATAATGCTTTCTCGCGCCGTTTTTAATGTGAATAAAAACTTTATAGAAAAAAATTTGTAGAGGCTTTGTCTTTCTCTTCATGTTCTTAATATTTCTTTCCATCGAAAAGATTCACTTCATTTTACAACTACAATTGCAGAAGGTAAGCATGTAAGCATTCAAACAGAAGTTTAATTGTGTTAGTCTCTCGTGTTACACTTCATTTATGCCGCAATAATGGGAAAGCGGAAGTGCATCCACTTGTTTAGTCGGGCATCATAATTACGCAATACGCCGGATAATCTCGGGGCTGAACTTTCTTTGCTCGTGAAGTTTACGATGGGGAGAGCTTGATTACGATTGCTCGCTTCCTCGTTCTGAGGAATTGTCCGGTCTCTCTGCGAGTTCTTTAATCGGATGCTTAGCGCGAAATTAACATTGGAATGACAATAGCGCCGACATTCGTAGAAATCAGCTAGTAGCGAAAAAAGACACGAACAGATATCTACTTTAAGACATTACAAACAACCAATTATTATACAAGAATGGAAGAGAATTATTAAAAAAATTATTATTTAGTTAATTTGTGATGTGCAGTGAAATGAAAACAATTTTTTACAACATATAGAAATGATTAGATAATCGTGTTTTTTCGCGTAATTTTATATTCATTTTATTTACGCAGTATGAGAAACAATTATATAAAATTATTATTTCTCTATCCATTTTATTTTATTATTTATTATTATTATAATTTAGTACTCAGTATAACGTGTTTAATATTTTTCACATGCGGTTGGTCTTCAACATGTAAGCTTTTCAAAGTTTTGAAGTCACTATCACATACTAATGCTCTTGAGTGGGAATATTATTATGTGAAGCACTCCACGAAGAAAAGTACAAGGGTGATGATATCAGACAGAAGTCTCATCTTTTCTTGTTTACGCTTTATTTATCATCGCACAACAGGGGAACGGGATAAAACGCCGAGTGGTGATACACCTTAGGCGTCCGGTGCACTCTATAATTATACCGGGTGGAATGCCCGCAATGAACTTTGCTTGTGAATTTTACGAGGACGAAACAGTCGTCGCAATTTCTCGCTTCGTCGTTAACGCAACGACGTCGCAGAATGCAGCTAAAGCTTGTGAAAAATACGGCGCTACTGTAAAAGTAGCGCCGACAAAAAAATACACGGGACATCTACAATAATTACCCCGTCGTGTTTTTGTCATTGATTTTACATATAAAAATAAATTTAATATATATTTATGTATAAAATTTGTATATATAAATTTACATACATAAATTAAATATAAAATTAAATACAATTAAATACAATTAAAATTCAAACATATTATAAATTATTAAAAAAATTATTATTAAAAAAATATATATTTATATTAAAGCGGCAAGATGGGAAAGAGAAAGTTAAATGGTTACTGTGTATGTATATATGTGTGATGCGTGACTATGTAACATGATGTGTATTTATATAACATATTAACCGCGCAATTAATTTCTCGTGTACTTATTTTGTTGCAGAGGAAGTATTCAACTCGAATGCGGCGCTTTGGTTTTCTCCAAGCGGCAATAAATTGGCCTTCGGCTATTTCGATGACTCGAGCACTCCTATTATGACCATACCGTTTTACGGATTCCCCGGGAGCTTGAGCTTCCAATACACTTCGCCAATACCGATTCACTACCCTAAGGTAAGTACATACTTCCACAGTATTTCATTCTGTTCTCTTTAATGTGCCCGATCAAAGAAACTTTCTATGCGATTTACACCTGAAAGTTCTGAAATATCAAATCGTTAAATCACGAGGTTTTGTGGGTACTTTTCAGTTTCTTTTAGTAGTATTATTATAGCATTTTATATAAATATTACGGACGAATATAGAGATGCTTTAGATTCTTCTATCGTAATATCTTTATATTTTCCATAAATATATTTTGCGTCGCTTGCGCTTGTCACTAATTTCGTATTTTTCATGCTCGCTATTTTAATTAGTTGTTCTCTCGTTTACGCATCTACGGGAAATGAGATTCCTAGGGAGGAAAACATAATGTCACTTTAAAAGGCAGCATTCCTAAACGTTAGACGCTCTCAGAAACGTCTCTTTCACTTTGTGTCCTCGCGAACCTCTGCGTCGCGCGACCGTCCGAGATATGAAAAGCCATCTAACCGAAAGTTTACATCCTGAAAAGAGGAGAGCAGTGTGAACGTGACACCTCTGCATTTTTCAATGCCGTTTTATGACTCGCGATTAACGTCGCCGCGAAAAAATGGTGCAGCATAGAGGAATATTCATCGTCGGATCGACTTGTAAACGATATCTTTGTTTTCTCAATCAATCAAGATAGTCACAATTTTAGATACATAATGCAATGTGTAAATTTTAATTTGCGTAATATTTAGCAATTTTTGTACATTGCCTTCTCTCTGCACAATTTCGCAAAACAAATTAATTTCTTACAACCAGAAAAATCTTTCATTTTTTCTGATTTTTTAAATTGTACTTTACTTATCAAAAACAATTAGTGATATATTAATTTAAGTCAAAGTTTTACGATTTTTGTAAAATATTTTCCGCTTTATCTTTTCTATTGCAATAACCTGATTATGCTAATTGATTTTCATTTTCAAAAAAAAAACGACTACATGCTTATCAGAAGCACAGAAGCCTTAGTTTTCCAACAGTCTCAATTTGAAGTCTCTATGACTTTTACAAGTGAAAAAATTGACGTTTTTTTTGTTTTTAAATTGAATTGGCTTTATATGCATCAAAAATAGGAAACGAATGTTTTGCGACATCACCACTTCAAGTCAGAGTTTCGCGATTTCCATCGTAGAACAATTCCCGCTTCAAATTGAAAATGATTCTCACCCATCGCGATAGTCTAATTGTGCTGATTGATCTTCATTTCCAAGAAAAACTATTGTACGCTTATCAGAAGCGCGGGAGTCTTATCTTTCCAATGGTCCTTGGTTCAAGTCTCTACGATCTCTACAAGCGAAGAAATAGACGGCTATATTGAACGGCGTGTTCGATCGCGCTTGGCCATATCGGAGCGAGGTCAGCGGCACTACCCTTTCCTAACGGCACTGCCCTTTCCTAACGGTGTTTTGCGTAAACATTAGCAAGTCCCGCATTCCAGCGCATCCCGTTACGCGACTATCTCGGGCCTACCCCCACTACGCGCTGCGTCAGATGGCCGACCACGTGTTCCATCGAACCCCTCCGCGTCACGTGCTGTGGACGCGCGACAACTGACGCTACCTAGCGACAGCTTTCGTTATTACTGAGCGCGACAGCGCCGAGAAACTTTGAAGTGCCGTGAGCAGGACGACGCAGAGGAGACGTAATCGAGGAAACAACAATAATCTTGACGTGCGATCCTGCTCGTTCTTGTGCGGGTCTTTGATCGCCGATTTGGAGAACGATCGCGCGGTGAAACGTTACAATAAATTCAAGGAATCCCGACACGGCGCATTCTTTCTCATTCGCGATGGAATCGCGCAGAGGTTAAGGTTAGTCTGCGTTCTTGCAATATCGGTTGCAAGCGATTCCGTTGCTCATCTCCAGGAAACATAAAGCAATAGCGTAGCCAGGGGAGGGGCTAAAGGGGCTATAGCCCTCCTGAAATTAATTTTATGGGTTACGCTAAGTGTGAGAAAATTTTTTCCGAATGACCTTGTTTTAGCTTGTCAAAAATAAAAAGTACAGTCCTCCCCGAAACTTTTTTCTGGCTACGCGACTGACATAAAGTATCATCCATATTATAATGTCAGCTCAATAATATGAAATATTATGTAACTGCTTTGTTATATAACAAAGTAACAGTTACGTAATATACTATGATTGAGCTGACATTGTAACATCGATGATACTCTGTGTTTATTGGGTTGCGATAATTTTCAAACGTCTTCGCAAAAGTTCACTCGACTTTCCAACTCTTACGATACTTGTCTAGCTTTGCGACAGCTAATTGAGTGTTTTTGACGACACGTTGTTTGAGTACGTATACACTTTGCATATAATTCTAAAATATCTCGTGGCGCAATCGCTTGAAATCGCAATGGCGATTGTGTACACTCTTATTCGGAGCTTACGTACGAATTGATTTCTTTCCCGGTGCACGATGGAATTCCAAGTTTGACGTGCAGCTTTATTCCATTTTATTCCATTGCCATCTGAGAGAAGCGATTCTGTAAGTACATAAACTCGTAGCCATGGATGGATTAAAGTCACCGGTTTCATTCATTCCGCTCGATGCGCAAACCGCTATTCTGTCATTTCCCCGGAGAAACGCATTAATGCACATTCATCTAGATTTCTTCCATCCGAGACCTCATTGCATTTTGCCTCGAGTATTTTGACAGAACGTAAAGATTTTGTTTATTTTTATTGAATATCGTGACAAACGAAATCGTATAAATATTCATTTTGAATAAAGGGATATTTTTGGATATTACAATGTAATATCTAAAAAACCTTTCCCCCAAATATTTGTTTCCGGAAAGTTTCATATTGTTAAAGTTATAATATAAACGCAAATGATCAAAGAATTTAAATAATTTTAAATAAGGTAGTCTTATAAGATTTAAAAGTAGACATAGTCTACGTAGTAGCAAATTTATCATTTCGAGAATATTACGTTAAAGACACTAAATACGCGAAATTAATATTTGTTATAGTAAAAATTGTATGTATTTCCTCATATAAACATTAGCAATTCCTCTTTAATTGTGACGGATGGTAGATTATAAATTCATAAACTCATTTAATTCCCTTGAATTCATGTAAAATCGATATTTTGCGTACAATTAGCTGAAGCGATTTCAAAATAAGCAGGATTATAATTATTACTTCACTATGACTGTGTGAATTGTATCAGTACGATATTAATTAAAATTTTTGTATACGAGAATCTTGTTCCTTGAATTAAATTGCATAAATGAAATTTACTTTATCGCGCTCCGTACTATTTATCACATAATGAAGTTTTCGTGTTTCCCAGTCATGAACGTTGCTTGTCGGTTGCTTGGCAGAAAGTTCGGGCGGGAATAAGCAAATTCAGTAATTTACTGAAAAGTGATCAGAAATTATCCTTAAGTCGCGGACAAACGGCTGAGCGGAGCCAATTGAATCCAACGGCGTCGCGTTACTTTTTCGCGAAGCAAGTGTCACTTTACGTTCGGCGAATTAATATTAATAGAATATTGCCAAGTCAGACGAACGAATAAACACTGCAAACGGCAATCATGGCGTCTCGTGTCTCGAGATTAAACAAGATTGTCATTAAAACTTTTGCTGTTGGGACGACGAGATTTCAGTGCACTTAAAGTTATCAGTAAAGGAACAGCCATGGCGGGACGCAGAATCGAAGATTTATGTTTCCAATTTCATTAAAACATTTCCCCGCGCAAACAGGCTTGCAAACAAGAACTTTACGCACTCCCCAGGAAAACTGCATTTCTCACGTAAATATATACGCGATGTAATATACACAGAAACTTGTCCTTTGCATCTCTCGCTCTCACTAGCAAACTATTGTGTTAGTTTCACGTTTCCCATTCGCGGAGACGGATTAAATATTATGGAAGAATCAATTCGACAGAGCGGAAGAATTCCAATTCCTCGTGCACTCGATCCTAAGTCAGTCACGAAGAATCTTCCATTGAGATTAAGAACGAAGGGATTACGGGCCGCTCGCTGTATTGATGTACGATACCATTATCCCCTCCCTCATCATGGTTTTTCTTTTTCTTTTTCTTTTGCCGATAAAGGCTTTACTGATAAAAGGAGAAAAAGCAAAACCTCTCTTCCTCTCTCTATACGTCCACCTTGCCGCTGTTCTCCAATAACCATCGTCGTCGCTCGCATCAACGTCGCTGTAGCTCATGAGAGATCCGTCTCCTTTGTTTCAGAGCGGCACGACGAATCCAACTGTGAAGCTGTTCTGCGTCGACCTGGACATGGTGATGCAAGGCAACGTGACCTTGGTGGAGATCGAGCATCCGCCGGAGCTGACCAGCGCCGAGAGGATCCTGTCGGCCGTGAACTTCCCCACGGACGAGCTCGTTTACGCAACTTGGATGAACCGGGTGCAGAACAGGGCGTATTTCCAGCTCTGTAACGTCGACAACCTGCTGCCAAATTGCACGACAGTAGGTACTTCCTCATCCCTCGCGGAAGCAATTCACCGCCCCTCTGGCTCTCGATGGCAGTCTCGTTTGATAGTCCGCTTCGCTTCGCGACGGGACTCCGTCGTCCTTGCGAGCTCGCGCGGATCTTAATTTAGGCGGCCGCTCCTTCAGTCGGGCAATAGTATTTTAATTAGCGCGCACTTGCCGACGGCTGGCTAATTCGCAGTTCCGCGAGAGTCGGTCTCCCCTTTCTCATAACTGTTTCTTACGAAATTTCGCCGCGTTGCACGAATTTCCAAGTATCGGAGGATTTCACGCACGACGGAATTATGTAAAATTAATCTCCGCTTGTCAGGAACGTGGAATTAACATCGCGCGAAGCGGCACTCTTGCGAGATATTTTGCATGTCGGCCATGTGAGTCTTGCTATATCAAAAGAATATTCACAAAGGAAGTGAAAATAACATTATGCGTCCAATAAGAGACTGTAATTATAGAACTTTTGACTGCGTGTATGCTTTTTTCGAAACCGTCAAAGAGAAAGCGCTCAAACATTTTTCTTTTCTCCGATGCCTTTATTAACTCCGTAATTTTACTTGTGTACGAATATTCGCAAAAAATGAGACGCCAACGGCAAGGGAATTTTAATTATAAAAAAGCATGTGCTGTTTCACTAAATACGTCGGAGAATGCAATTTACTGACGAAAGAATGCTCGTTGTCACTAGGCGCTCTCGTACAGCGAGAAAAATGGCTGGGTGGAGCAGTTCGAAGCGCCTGTCTTCGGCGACAACGGCACGTCGTTTATCCTGATATTGCCGCAAAGACAAAAGGACAGCAGCGATTGGAGACACGTTGTGCTGGTTACGAATGCGACCAGCGACAATCCGACCACCACCGCACTCACATCTGGCTATTTCGTCGTGACGGAGATAGTCACGTGGGACAAGGAGGACTCGTATCTGTGAGTACAAAAGCAATTATTGTGTGTACGTGGAAGAAGGCAGAGCGAAATAATCATAAATAACATTTGACAAACGTAGCGGATGCTTATTTTTCCTGAGCTGTTGTAAAAAAAGGTCGATAAGAGACATATCTATCAATTAAGTGAAAAGAGGACAACGAAAATTATTCATTATTTGATGCGATATTTAAAATTGAATCAACTTCTCACGGTATTTTCGCTACCTTTGACCCGTATCAGCTTAAAGTGTATGTTTCAAGCATTTCTTTTCGTCGTAATTGATTTATTTGATGGTGTGAAGAAAATGCCGCGCGCGATGCGGCCTTTTCTTGGTCAAATATACGTTTAGAAATCGGCACCCTTGAATCAGGTCAGGTCAATACCTGTCATTAATTAAATGGAAATCTGTATAAACGACGTAATTATACGAAACTCAAGCGGGGAGGCTGTCTGCTCTTTCAAGAAGCCAAATCAGTCCAATTACTTAAAACTTCTACGTCGGTAATCTACGGACGATCGAGCCAAATAGATTACGTTTTCACTTCTCCCGTAACTTCCCGACAATCTCAGCTTCTTTCTAGCAACTACGAATCAGGATCGGCCGAATTTGCTATCGATGGATAATTCAATGGAACAGACAGATAATTTAATCAGTGACATACGTCGATGATTTATTCATCGCCTGGGCTTTTAATTATAGGACGGTGTGCGCATACATTTATCGAAATTAGCATAGGCAGCCCTCTAATCAAAGTTTAATTGTGCACTCAGAGTTCCCAGCTAAATTCATTCGCATTTATTTATTTATCCGCGTAATGCACCGTGAAAGAGTGCGCGTGCACGTTTTTAGAGTTTCTCCTTCCGGGAAAGAAGATAGACTTTTTTCGTTGCGATACGCTTCCGCCTCTCTGCCGGACAGAGAGCGGTTGTCACGTGCATATGCACGGCCCGCATCACGAGTCCTCGAGTACAAGAGACTGCGCTCGTTCCCCAGAGCCGCTCATCTCGGCCGATGACGTTCGGGACGATACCGACCGCGCGAAATGGCTCGGAAGTAATTTACGAAGTGAAAGCAGAACTCGCGACGGTGCGGAGCTGGAAAGTTGCGTGATGTCGTGGCGGCTTCGGGACCAGAGGGGGCGGGTTGACCCCGCCTCGCAAGAAGCGGCCGACTTAATTGCGCGTTCATAAATTAAACGAGATCCCGGGGCCAGGAGGAGCGGGCGGCGAGCGTGGCCGCCGTCTCGTCGCGCGAATTCGCGCTTTTTCCGCGTCTCGAAATCCATCGGTCGATTAACGCTCGATGGAAGTGGCCGACGGGAATCGAATTACCGGCAGATCGCGCGATCAGAAGTTGGTACGGCGTCGTCATTGACGACGACTTATCGCCGTACGTCCTCTCGAGACGTCGCCGGGAAAGAACATCGGAAGATCCACTCCATCTTGCAGACAGATTGCTTCCATCGGGCGTTAATGATGTCGCTTAAAGTTTCGTCGCTTCGGCGTCTCGTTGCGCCGAAAGATAACCGAAATCCAAAGTGATGCGCGGTCGAAGCCAGGGGGATATCGAGAACAAGTTTCAGTCGCGACCTAAGAACGTGTAGAACTTCGTTTCTGATAAGATAACATTTTCCCACTTAAATTTTAAGCCAATTGCGTCACAAAAAAAAAACTCGAATCACGAATAGGGCGTAAAACGTTGAAGGAGACCGCAGAAGTCTTCGGCACGTTTCGGTACTTCGTGAAATATTATGATACTCCCGCGGATTGATTTATCGCGCTATGCGTGCGAGCACATAGTGACGGCTCCTATATCGGTTTGGCGTGACGAAGCACCAGAGAAAAAAGTCACTTTTTCACGTTACATTATATGAAATTTAATGGTTATATCAAGAAACGTTGTTATCACACGTAAAATTTAGGATCGCCGCTTGCACACAGCTGCCTAGTGAATTTAACTAAGTCGTTTCGCTCGGCGCGTTGTTCTTGTTGTATGCGCAAGATTGCGGACATGAACGAGCGCAGACTGTATTCCGGTAACGCGCATGAATTAATCATTGGAACGGTGTAAACAGAGGCGACGTTCAAGAGTTATTCAGTGGCGTTGCGTTTGCGGCTTGTGCGGACGACATAACGCGTTACGCTAATCAATGCGCGGAATTCGCAATACGAGCAAATTTACATATTCGAACGTGTCGATATGCACACGCATACACACACACATACATACATATATATATATATATATATATATATATATATTTGTATTTAGATATGTACATATATATATATATATATATATATATATATATTTATATTTATATTTATATGCGGATGTATGTGTTCATATCATCCAGCATGCATTGCATATCGCCAGACTCGAACAATTAATATTCAAATAATTAATATTATTCTCTCGAGCGTACATTTCGTTCAGCGATCGTGGCCTTATTTGCACGAATATTCTCCCGCGCGCGTCGCTTTTGATATTCAAAAAGTCTCTACTATTCTGAAACGTGATAATGTTGAAGAGAGTTTGTGTCAGTGAACGAAATATTTATCAATTAATCGCACTTGTCACGACTGAATTTACCGCATATTGCACGTGGCTTTGTTCGTCTCTTTCGCGTGACTTAACATTATTATATTTCCTTAAGGGGATGCTGAAGCTGAAAACTTTACCGACAGAACTCTGACATTTTTCTGCAAAGTTTATGTATTGGTTACACAGAATTACAAATGCTTTTACGCAATGGAAGTACGTGCAAAAATAAATAGGAGCATTGCTCGATATGTGACAAAAACAAACAAAAAAATTTTAATGTAAAATCTCAAGCTGTCAGCATAATATTTGTCAATCCAAAAGCTCCGTAGCTTGTACATACCGAAAGTGTGGATGCTCCAAACAGAAAAATTTTGAAAAACATTGCTGTATCTTCGCATCTGCATTTGGAAGCTTAAAAATATCGAAAAAGTTTGCAGAAAGATTTCTAAACATATATGGTTAGATTTCCCGTTGAATATGGTAAAACAAAGCAACACACTTTCATGTATGTTCTGTATATACAAGAAATACGAAAAGGATAGCGTGATTATGTTAGTGACGATCGTCTCTGCATTATCGACATTGTTCGAGTTCGTCATCGACTCCAGCATCCCTTTAGCCCAATAGAAATTCGTGTCCCGAATCGAAATCCTGGTCCTATGTTAAACCTTGAATTCTACAGTGCAGTAGGAGCTAAGTTGGCAAAATAGGTTAATTTTAATGATACAATTTGCTCCTACTTTGACCGATGTCCGAAATTTTCCTTTTTACTTTTTTAGCGTCAAAATAGGTTGTATCATAAGCTTTAGAATATCAAAATAGGTGTTGAATGGAATAGTAGGGCTAAAAGTAAGGTCAAAATTTTGATTTGGGATATCCTTTATCAAGTCAAGTGTCTTAAAAATTTGACGTTCTCCTGAGAAACGCCCCTGCCGAATTAGTCTGTATAAGATCAAACACGGAATATCTCTCTTGGACGGTCCGCTAGCATAGAGGCATTCACCGCAAACATAGGGGGCGTGCGTGCGTGGAGAGAATGCGATATTCGTGAACTGTTTCCGAAAGCCGAGGTGGCAAGCAGATGGGAACGTGTCAGCGTGTCAGTGCAGCGCCGGAGATAAACAGCGGCCGGTTACGCCCTTATTATTCTGCTCGACGCGTCGCATACCTAACCTTGAACTCGGCGACGTATCACGCAGGATACGTCCCCGTTTCTCGCAGTGTGCGGTTCTCCTCCTCCTCTCCGCAATTTAAATAGCTTCTTCACTTGCGAGCACCCGCGTAAATTATGTCTTTGTATCTCCGTCGATTTATCATCGCGTCTATTCACCGTGTTTTACATATAAATATCTACACAGTCCCCTCCCCCGAAGGGCTCACGTGACGGGAGGAGAATTTAACAGAGCCTGTCCGCGCGTTCCGCGGTGTCGCATTTAATTTCACGTTTCCTCCATTTTCCACGTTTGACGCTTGTCCATTTATCTAATTTATCATGCCAGCGTGTGTCGGCCGAGTTCGTGCCACGTGTCGCTTTAATTTAGTCACGGAAAAATAACAGCGCGAGACGCGAGTATGTCTGCGTGTAAGCGCTCGTGCGCGTTCCTCGGTGTATTTAATCCTTTTTCAATTTTTTTGCCGCAGCTACGCCGAGAGAAAAAATATATCTAAGTAATTAAAAAATTTCCCCCCGGTGAGAAGAGATGGGTACTAATAACGTATATATGCTTACTTATATACCAAGAGAAAATATTCCTCAAATAAGAGAATGTACCTCAAAAAAGCAACTTGTTCCATTTAGATAAAAGGAGTTGGATTTCAGTAAATACGCTCACTAAAATAAACACTTATTACTTTTTTCTGCCAACGTAGAATTATGGGATGAGTGTGAGTGGCGAGAGGGAAAGGAATGAAGCTCATATGCGTTGCCCGATAAGATTGTCCTCTCGTCATAGCGCGCCTTGCCGACGTCCGAATTCTTCTCGCACTCGCGATTTCAATCTCAACTTTTATAAACTTCTTAACGCTCTTACTATGCTAAGACGCGGCCGCTTCCATCCGGCTTGCGCTATTTAAGATTTAGAATAAACCGCTCAAAAGTTTGGCGTTATTTCTCTGACAGATTGAACGCGACCCCTCGCGCGGGCGCGTGCTCGCGCTCGCCACCCTAACGATTTCGCGAGAAGAGAGTATCTCGGCTTAATCCTCGAAGCGCCGAGCTTTCCCACCCTCCGGGCAGAAGTTCAAGGGGTTATCATACGAAAGAAATCGCGCCGTGCGGTTGTGTCACATCACGATCGCGTCTGTTTCGCGAAGCGCCGCAACGGAGATCGATAGCGTCGTATTTCGCCTCGACGTGACTCTTAACCCTGGAAGAGTCTGACTAAACATGAGTATTTGCCCAGACCAACTTTCCAAACGTTGCCGTTTTTGAAGTCATGTTTGTTCATTATATTGT